AAAAAAAAAAAAAAAAAAAAAAAAAAAAAAAAAAAAAAAAAAAAAACTACAGGCAACTATGAAATGCTGAGGCCAGGAGAAAACAAATCTTCCCTGGAGAAGAGCACACCAACTGCTTCTCCCAAACCACACAGCCTGCAAACACACCTACGAGTAACATAAAGGCTGGGCAGGTTGTATTCATTTAGGAATATAGATTTATTACATTTACGTATATAACAACACTTAATGGGTTGCTGCCCTCCAGACAGCTGAATGCCTGCTCCCTCACTGCTGATGTAATAGCAAGGGGGCTGAGAATTCTTTCTCACCTAGGTTTGGCAGGCTTTCCCCTCACTGATTCTTAGGTTTTCAGTCCATTTGGATACATACCTAGACAAACAGAGCCTGTCTGAGCCTACATAAACTCCCCGGCACAACATTTCACCATCACCTACCTTTGTTGGCCATTTCCCCACTCTGCAAACTTGTTCCTGCTCTTCCTCAGCAGGCTTGCCCTCAGCTCTCATCTGCTCTTCATGGCTGTCTGTGGCTGTTGAGAGCTTTCACTATTAAATCTGAACTGTACTCTTTGTAGAGGAATGTTAATCCAGCAACATGGCTGCTCTGGCAAGGGATCACATCCAAAGACTACATTCCAGGTCTGTGTGATCCAGCTGGAATACAGACACACCTTTAGTCCCAGGAGACCGAGGCAAACAGATCTCTGGGTTCAAGGCCAGCCTGGTATAGAGCAAGTTTCAGGTAAAGAAAAGCTTAGGTCCCGGCACAGTGGCACATATCTTTAATCCCAGTACTCAGGAGAGAGGCATACAGATCTCTGAGTTCTAGTCAGTCAGATGGATTGAGTCAGTGAGTTGTTGAGAGGTAGTAAGAGCACTGGAGTGGAGTTTGTAGAGTTCAGTCCGTAGAGTTCGGAGGCAGTCTTTACCAGGATAGTTGTACAAAGACAGACTGCAGAGAGAACAAGCTAGACACAGGTGAAGACAATGAGCCAGAGAACGAGGAGCCAAATGATTACAACAGATTAGTTTGAGGCCAAGCAGAGCAATTCAGTAAGAGGCTTAGAGAGAAGCCAGATTGAGTCAGTCAGCTTGGAAAGGAGTTTGAGCCACAATGTTGAGTTGAACCAGCCAGCCAGAGTTCAGAAAGAACTAGAAAGGGTGAGCATACTCAGCAGTGAGCCTCCCAAGTGAGTAAAAGTTACTTTTACAACTAACTCTCCCTGTAACTGACTCTTTGTTTCATTTACCTTCCTCTCTGTCTATGCACTCGATTCTTTACAGTGGTGAGACCAGCGCTGGGAAGAGAAGGAAGAAAGTCTGCTTGCTATGCTAGCTCTACTGGAGAGATTAAATAGCAAATGGCCCAAGGTACAATTCTGCACATTAATAAAGAAAACTGGAGCCGGGCAGTGGTGGCGCACGCCTTTAATCCCAGGACTTGGGAGGCAGAGGCAGGCGGATTTCTGAGTTCAAGGCCAGCCTGGTCTACAGAGTGAGTTCCAGGACAGCCAGGGCTACACAGAGAAACCCTGTCTCGAAAAACCAAAAAAAGAAAAAAAGAAAAAAAAAAAGAAAACTGGAAATTAACTTCACAAGATAAAAAACATATAACTTTCTTCTTATACATCTGATGTAAGAAATGGAATAGTTAAAAATTTCAAAACTTCTTTATTTTAAAAAATGTATACACACAGATACACTAAAATTTACAAGCTAAGCAAGATATAATCAAAGTGAAATCAGTTCTGTACAAGTAACATTTGCAATTTCTTCAGTTTGTAGCAATTCCATACTAGTAATTTGAAACATCCTTAGGACTTTGTAATACTTCCATTTTTCACTTTCTAGAGAGTGACAGAAGATAGTCAATATCCTGAAGGATTTCAGAAGTTCTTTTCAATGCTACCGATACACTCTCTTCATTAGTTGCTTCTAGCAAAGTTTCTGAAGATCCTGATTTAGAGTGATCAGAAGAACACTGTTCATTCTTCTTGCTGGAAGTCGGGTCAAGGACACCACTGTTTTCCAGCAGCCCTGAATGACTTAGTTAAGGTGCTTTCCCCTACATTTTTCATTACATGATTTGAGTTTTAGAAAGCTTGGCTTTGGTATGAAAATGATATTTCTCAGTTGCAAGGAATATCTATTAAATTCATGATAGCATTAGGATTTCGGAGTTTATGGAGTCTAACCCTTACGGATGAGGAAACCAGTCATAGTGCAGGCAAAGCGGGAAATTATGTGTGTCTGGATGGCAGTTTAGTAGGAAAGAAAAGAAAACCTCAGTAATATTTCTTAACTACATTTGTTAAGAAAATAAAAAGGGAAAGGGTAGGATGATAGAGTTATAAACAATGAATGTAATGCATTTTTAAATTAAAGATCTAGAATAAAAAAAATTGACTTCTCTTACAGAACTAATTTATTATTTGGGTAAGGTTATATAACTATTTTTCCCCAATTAAAACAGTCCTTCCTGGAGGGGAAGAGGGAGCTCACAAGACTCAGAAGTAGGTAAAACACACACTGCCCAGGAAGTATATGAATCTTACAAGGATCAGTAAGCTCCTAAAAGTTACAAAATTCACAAAGTCC